TAAAAAACCAGCAGAAGATTTCACAGTTATTTTTCATAGCTTATTTCTCTACGATTGGATTTACTTTATGCAAACCATGATTATATGATAGTAAGAAGTCCAAACACTGCTCCCTGCTCGCAGAAGCCATTTTAAGGCACGGGGACACTGCTGGGGCAGAGAGCGTGATGCTCCCCTGCAGAGGCTCCCAGGGCAGTGCTGTCAATCCAGTAACATCGGCTGTGACTAAGTCAGTTGAACACAAGAATCATATTCTTCAAAGGATAGATGTTCACCTACAAAGATTTCCTCACCAGGCAAGAAGAACTGTATTTTAGCTCTTACTCAGATTAGGGTCTTGAGCAGAGTTATCAGGCTCACAAGCCTCCCCGGCTCAGCAGATTGCCCAGCTGCTCTCACGCTGCTGTGCAAGCTCAGGGATCCCTAAGCGCGAGCGTTCGTTCTGGAAACGTAGAGTTACCCACGGGGTGCGATGCTCTGTCAGTGACACATAAAGCAGGGCAGGACACGAGGCCTATCTCAAACTGCCTTCAGCTGAGTGAGGAGCCGGTGAGTGAAACAAGTCCTCACTCCTGCCCGCGCTGCCCCTCGTCAGGGCCCGGGCCTGCGGACTGAGGGACCAGACGGGGAACAGAGAACGGATGCATTTATCACCAGGCGAATAAAACCTGCTCTCGCGCATTACTTATTTCCAGTGTTCAGATTTACTGTGGGCCTTCCAACTCCCTCTTCTTTCCTTGGGTCTGTTTAGTAAGGTGTTTAACCCTTAGTGCTCAGTGTCCGAAACCAAGCATGTGAGAGCCCAGAATGTGAGCTGAGAAGGGGGCGTCTTCTCTCTGGCTGGGCGTCAGACACACGGCTCGGTAGGTGAGGATGGTGAACACGTTCTCCACGATTATTAAAACTATTAAACTATTCTAAGCATTAAAATCTGCATTTTAATCGTTGTGCCTCTCAATTATGAAATGACAATGATTCAGTGTCTCAGCTACTTCCCCTACAACCAGCAGGAAAACAGATGTCTCCTCTCACTGCTGTGCCCCGCGCTGTGCTCCCAGGAAGTACGGTCCCGACAGGTGAAGACAGGAGTTGAGCTGCAGAGATGGAGAGAGGACACTCTGTGTGGGCAGGACGTGAGCGGAGACGCAGATCAGTGATGCAGGAGGCACCACATCCTTGCTAATGAGAAGAGGAGTGTTGAGATGCCTCCTGGTTTGAAGATATGTGACACTTTTCCCTAATTTTTTGGAGCCGGTGAAAAAGCTTACCCCAGTCCCAAGACAGATGGCATTAAAACTGGATACAGCATGAGAATCTCCTCTTCTCCAATAATCACTTCACCTCAGGGAGAATTAATTCCTCAGTCAGTCATAGTTCAGATATATTGAAAAAATGTTTGCAAACTTCAAATAAGAGGAGAGAGAATCCTCCGTAACCTAGAGAGGTTTAGCAATTCAAAACTTATCTGTTAGTGGTATGTCTGTTCAGGGGGAAAAAGCCATTCCTTCGTCAGCTTTTACCTTGACAAGTGGAATTTTGCTGAATGTTTATTTCAACAGTGTGCAAGGCTGAAACCAAATCAGTTTGAAGGCTGCTTGAACACTGATCAAGTCTTAGAGCATTTCTTCTTTGGTCTGTCAGCAAATGTGGAATGCACAGCTTAAATTATCTAGTCAAGGGAATTTTCGTGGCCCTGCCTGGGCCCTGAGAAGAGCATTTTATGTTGAACATCAGTCACCTGCTCTTCTCTGGGGCTGGGGCTTATCTGGGCAGGGGCTCTGTGAATGGGGACATTGACCTCAGGGCATCTGGACCTGTGGGGACACCGTCAAGCAATGTCCAGCTGTCCCTGTCTCTTCAGTGAACCTTGCTTCTCTTCTTGAAAAACACATCAAAGATTACGTTATGTTATAAAAACAGGACATGACTGAAAATCTGATGTAGGTCCTGGAACGACTCTGCCTTTTACGCTAATAATACTCATCATGCCCTGAGCCCCTTTTGTGTCAGATGCCACCCCATGTACCTGTGCTAAAATTTTATTTTATTTATATAAAACACATGTGTGTGTTTACATACAATTTAATTTTAC